CAGCACTCATTGTCAGCAAGACGAGGTGGACAAGGATGTCAATGCTGGTGTTAATGGAGACAATGCCAACGGAATTGACAACAATGGTGTTGTTAATGGAGACAACACAGATGATAACAACAACAAAACAGTGCTATCACAACAGAAAGACCAAGACAAGGAACTCCTACTGGCCCATCAGGAGTAAATGTTCCTGATCAGCACTGGAAGAGATACCTCAAATATATTTCCTTGATTTCATGGAATATGGACATGGGAGGAGAGATGGATACTTTGATATGCCAAAAGCTGCTGATACAAGATTCCCATGGGACCATGTGTTTCGTGATGATGACTTTGAAAATATTTCCCCCAAACATGTCTATTGCTTTTTGGCACTGAAGTGTCATTGGAAAGAGGACCCAGGTCTAGATGATAATCCTATATTTGAAAGATCTACAACTATTGCTTATGCAAAGAAGGGATATAGTATTATCTCCCCAACAAGACTATCAAGTGAACTGTAATTCAAGGTCTTGGAATCCTACTCAGTCTCAAGAGGTGAATAATCATATTGCAGCAGTCAAGTTCAAGGAAACTAGAGGGCTTGCCGTTGAAATGAAGATGGATATGGTGTTAACATAGAATGTTTTTGGGGAAATGGTGCTATGATGGTGAGGGAGTAGTAAGTCAGTAGCTATTTGCTGAAGGATTTAGTGATAAGAATCCCCAATGAAGATAATCAAGAGGGAAGTTAGTAGAGGAGGAAAGCAGCAGTATTCCAGATTTCTAAATACTTGTGTGTTAAAAAGTTGTCAGTTCAACAAAGATATAGCTGGTGGGTTGGGTACACATTTAACCAGAAAGCACGCAGTATCAATCTGCATGCATTGTGGGCTTCCCAAGGACAACACTTATTACAGAGCTAGATGGGAGGGAATTTGAAGGCAACAAGATAGGTATACAGATATGCAGCTCTTGTGGCCTGATATTAATGTTGCAAGTTGATTGTGTTATGGTGGTGTCTGTTTGTAAAAGGTAGTGGAAGGGTATGGAGTTACCAATAAATGGATTACTGAGAATGTTACTCCTAATATTGCGAGTGCGTTTGATGATGATGTAACAGTCATTCTAGGAAAGGCGTTGTTGTGGGGATGCTTTGAAACTTCTATGGTAGGTGATGTTTGGGATGATATCAGAAGGAATGTAATGGCGTCATTTATTCAGCTCAATACCAGGGTGCATACAAATGGTGGTGCTGGTATTGCTGGCGCTAACCCTATTTGCAAGGTTGAAATGATTCCAAGTGAATCAGGTGGATGAATCACTTTTGATGAGCTGTTTGAACCTGAGCTAGATGAACAGAGTGCTGGTGCTGCTAATGCTTGAGATGGGCCTTTTCATGGTTGAAACAGCACAATGGGAATGAGGAGATCCCATCAACAATGGATGAATGTGATGTATGCAAAGATGCATGACTTCCAGACCAGGATGTCCAATATGGAGAACTTGCTGATAAAAGAATTTTCTGTACAAAATCAAAGGCACAAGAGACTGCAGGCTGCATGTAATCAGGCCGCAATGGCTCCAGTACCCAGAGGAGAGTGAGGCAACATCTTGTTAATCCTGGAGCTGATGCCGAGGTTGAGGAGAAGAAAGCAATCCTTCAAAGAAGTCCAGGATACTCATATGTGATATGGAATAATGGGAATCTGGATTTGCTGGTAACAAACCAGCAAAGAACTTCACTGCAGCTGAACAAAATTCAAAGGAAAAAAGTTCATGTACTGCAGGAGGAAGCCTTTTTTGGTTTTGTATTGAAAGATTGACAAAGAACAGAGCAGGGACTGCTCATCATGCAATCAGGACAGTACTTGATTTGTACAGACAGGAGAAGCCTGTAACACAGATTCTCAAGTAACTTTGAAAGCATGAGCAGGAAGGTGGACATGCACAGTTAAGATAGCTGGTTGATTGCTTCATGATTTTTGACGCATGGACTCAACACCTTCCTTTGACTTGACGTGTTACATGGATGCATTGCATCAATGGAAGTGCTTCTTTGATCAATGCTTTGCTCTGATGGAATCATTTCTTTGCTTCTTTGATGCTTTCTTGCATCAAGGCGCTGCTTTGATGTGGTGTTGGTTTGATGCTGCTGCTGGAGAAGGCTGGTGGATCCTCTGTCTTGTTGTTGTTTTCTTTTGGGTTAGTTCTTGTTCCCCCTTACATCAATAACACCATTAAATAGTATATGTTAACTTCAACTGCTTTTTCACTTGGTAACCTAGAGGAGCAAGTTTAATAGCTGACAAGATGACCCATTGTTGTGATTGACAATTGTTGAGTTACCTTCATGACTTGTTTTTTTCCTGTGGATGTTCTATGGAAATTGACTTCTCAAAAATTGTGTCAGTAATTCTTCTCAACTGATGAGCATCAGTTGAGGTTTTCTGCTGTAGATTGGACTACTATTTGGAATAGGACAAGTTGAAGTACCCCAGGAGGTGCATTATCAGAGGATGCTGTGTTAGCAGCATCCACAGCATCCTAGGGGCCTGTTCTGGCTCATGTGGACTCAGATATGGATGCTGCTAACACAGCACTGACTGCTGCAGATGTAGACACTGCTACAAATGGTGGGGAGGCGCAAGCTGCTACCGCTTTGGATGCACCAAATCTGCAACAAATGCAGCAGCTAATACTAGTAGTAGCAATAGCACCACTGTGATACACCCAAGGACACTACTAATGCTGTTCCCTTCCAGCAGAGGACCGCTTTGGGGGCCCCTTCAGGGGCTCCTCGAAGGTGAGTGGATCAGCATCATAATGCTAGATCCAGGCTCCAGGACCACCAGCGCTGACACCAGAAGAATGAAGCCTCTTTTATTCCTGATGCCCTTATTGGGACTACGGAGGAAGTGATTACAACAAATGCAGCTAATCCAGGTGCTAATGCAGCTTGTGTGGATGTGTATGCTGGTAATTCAAACACAGCTCCTGATTGCCTGGTGTTGCCCCAAGCTTCTCCAATGCAACAGGAACTCCCTAATCTTGATGAGGGGGCAGATTTGCCCTCTCATGTGACCACTGAAGCTGATTAAAACCTGGATTCAATATATTGTGACAATGTGCATGATCTCCCTGGCACTCATCTTAGGAAACATTATGGATGATTTGCTTTGGCAACAAACATGGAAGCACAGGCCCAGCAGGAGAACCCTGTCCTCACCAGGCTTATTGTCACTTCACTCCTCCTGTCTACTCTATTGGTGGGATGGAGGGCCCAGAGGCAGTTGCAGCTCAAAATCAACTTCCCTCCAATTGAATATAACTCTGGTAGTAAGCAAAAAGTTTCAATTTGAAGATAAACTTTGTTTTGAAGCAAAGAGCTTTTGCTTGTACTACAATATGTACTAGATTCTACAGAGATAGTTTTTGGAATTGTCTCAGTGACATTCATGATTGAAAGGCTAGATTCATTGTTGAAAAAATCATAAATATATATCTAACCTTGTGACGAACTAGAAGGGGCACTATGTTGGCCAGAGCCATAACTTCTCCTGACTAGGAAGAAGATTCTCCTAGTTGCTCTGAAGGGCAGCACCTCACTCCAAGGAGGTATTGTGGAGGTATAACCAGGTTCTATGCATATTGACAAGCCAATTAAGGTCTGGAGCCAGCCTCAGAGGACATTGAAAGAGTTTGTTCACAGTTTGGATAGATGAGAGCTATGCCATGATCATTTTAAAGAGCACTGCCATGCCAAAAAGACAAGTAGTAGTACTACTACGTAGTAGACAATGAACAAGGAAACAGATGGAGTAGTCATAAAAGAAAAACAAAAAATAAAAAACAAAAGAAAAAATACAGCTCAACAAGAAACCAACTTGGTCTTGTTGGTATTGATGTGGATATTTCGTGGAGGTAGAAGAATGAATGGTTGCAGTATTACTGAAGGAGCACCAACTGCCTCTGGTACCTCTTCTTGGAGAAGGAATCATGGATTGACCCTTCTTAGCAAATAGAACGGATGCAAGATAGTAGTTCCAGTTATGAAAAAAACAGCTTCTTTTATTGTACTCACAACCTATTCTAGATTTGCTCTTGATACCAGTACAGTACTAGGAGCTTTTTGCAACTCAAATTGCATTCTCATAATTGCCTCAATGGCAACAAAAATTCCTACCAAATAGGCCTATGGCCAAAATACCCGGATACTTTTTCTCATACCCCTATTTTTGAGACTGTATTGATTAGTACTAGTATTTTTTTCAGTAACTATGTACTGAGTAATATGGTATATGATCTATACCTGCAGGTCATATTCAGTTGCTTCTTAGTTGCGTTGAATACTGCAGCAGAATGCAATAAGGCAACTCAGTCACTGGGGAACTGGAGGCATGGAAGTGTAAAGCAAGTAATAATTTTTATCATCATTCTTCTCTCCCTTCATGTCTTTCACAAAATACTGCTGATACAGAGAATGCTGCTGAAACGAGTCCCTGGTATGGAGGAGTCACTGATACAGCATCCAAATACTGAGGAGTCACTGATACAAAGGATGCTCCCTGATATGGAGGAGGCCTACTGGTACAACAAGTTTCTGATTACAATTACTGGTAGTCCACAACTGTGTCAGCAGTGTTAGTGTGGCTCCAAGAGGGACAAGGGCTTGCTGATATGGATGATGCTGATATGAGTTGCTGACACGTATGCTGATTCTAAATACTACAGAGAAGGGGGACAGACACTTAATATGGACACTGATGGACAATGTGTATGCTGGATATGGACCCTGCTGGTGGATGTAGAAGCTTGCTACTACTTTCTACAATTAGGGGACACTAATATGGAGGATGCTTGCTGATACAACATCTACTGACAAGGAGGATGCTGATATGGAGGAGCTGCTTGGACAGTGCTTTTTGGGACAGTGTTTCTTGCTGATACGGGTGGGTGCATCTGTTGATGTGTGCAGATATGAGTTGCTGTTGTAGCCACTAACTACTTGTCCCCATCTAAGATCTCAGAATTGTGTCATAATACTAATACTATGTTTCTGATATTGTGAAGAATTGCCTTCATCATATGTCTGTCTATTATGGAAATTGCCTTACGCTTGATTATGCAAGTAATTCTGCTCAACTGACTTCTCAGATTTTTTGCTCTAAGATGCTGGTAGGAATCCACACAATGTATATGCACATAGAATTGTAGATGAATTCTACTGTTGCATTTTTTGTTGCGTTATTACCTTATCCCCATGGTAGGAGACTGGATTTTGATTGGGGGAGAGAGACAGTCTGACCTTTGTTTGCTTCCACATTGGCACCTCTTTTTGTTTTTGATGACACACATAATTCTTCACTCCCATCATAAAGTTACCCAGCATACCACCTTAAGGAATGACAAATACAGTATGAGTTTTTATCTCAAACAGTCAGGACAGGGCCCTCCGGAATCCATGCGCGCATCCCCCCTTTGAAATCCAACAGTTGGGGGCATGATTTCATCGGTTATTCTTCCAGTGAAATAACCCACAATTCTTAAATGKGGGTTTCTCAGTTCCTGGGTTTACCCACAAATAAGAACCCATGAAATAACCCACAAATAACTTACGAATCTGCTGGGCCTATTTTCAAACATAAAAAACAGTGATTAACTAACTTTAATGACTAAATTACTCAACATCCTTGGTTCTCCACCAACCCAGATGACTGTAAATTTGTGGGTCAATCATGGTTTATTTTTCAGATGAAATAACCCACTATATGATGTGTTATTCTTCCCATGAGGGAACCCACAATTCTAAAAGGTGGGTTATTCTTTACCAAAAATAACCCACGTTTTTCTAGGGGARGAATTCGAGGAGGGGGATGTGCGTGTTGGTACCGGAGGGCCCAGGAAAGTCCTTCCGAAGAGCGTAACCTCAGAAGTAATGTTGAATGATCATGGCTGGGTACGTATCGTGGAGACAGAAAAAATAGCATCAGTAAGAGCGAATGGATTCCAGARAAAGGGATTCACTCTCCACCGATAGTGCACAACAACATGAAAACAACAGGAGAAGAAGGACATACTTCATGTTACGATGAATTATTCCAGAAGTGGAAAATCGAGGTCCTGTCAATCAACGAAAATGCTGCTGTTGCCGAAGAAACCGAAAAAACGAACTCAGATCTTCAACAGGAATCCAGATCTTTCTTCGAATGTTTAACGGTAAAGTACGAGGAAGTACTTGCGAAGTTGATAAGAGATCTGAGTCCTGCTTTCRCATCGACGAATCTTCCCACACGCCTTCGCGGTATGTACGTTCTCTTTGGCGCAWTAGAAGGCTGCCGCGACAAAAATATATCAAATTCGTGCCTCGCCCTGCTGGGAGATTTTTTGACCYTACAATGTGGACCAATTGTTGACGATGAGTACGAAGAAGACTATGATAGCATGATTCGGGACATATCGATAAACTGTCTGAGTGTTCTAGTCGGAACTCCAACAACAACGATGGTCAGTGATGGAAAAGAATTCACCGAGGCGCTGGAAAGAAGGGTCAATCTCGCAAAGAAAGGTGTAGAGCTGAGATGTGCAGTTCCAGACGATATGTACATCGAGGATCAAGCAGACACCGAAAATGATAACTCTTACTACAAAAAGGATATTCGTGGAGGATTATCGAGGCTGCCGAGATCAAAGCGATCTCTCTGTTTTGCTTTGCTGGATAGTGCAGTCCTTGGAACGTCCAAAGTGTCAAAACCTTCGTCGCTTCTCATCAGACAGCAGATGCATCAGCAACAATCAGAGAGKTTCAATAGTGTTCAGAGTCACCTTGTTCAATTTGCAGATTTCACAGCCCGCTGCATCCATGGAGAATCTGATCCTCGTTGTCTTTTACAGTTACTTCAATTACTCCATCACACGCAATTAACATTTTGCGATTGGTTTCGAGACAACAATACATACAACCCTACCCTAGTCTTCCCACATGAAGACTATTTTGATGCTGTCGCACCATACTATCCAATTCAATTTACACCTCCTCCAAACAACGTGCATGGCATTACTCGCGAAGGTTTGCACTCTGCACTGATYTCTGTACTGTCCTTCACCGAGATGGACGAACCTGCCAGGCGGTACCGCAAACCAACTATGCTAGGATGTAGTCTAAATCTCTTCCTGGAACAACTTCTTCCGGTACAATCTAATGAGGAAAAATCGAGTCCGCTGGAAAAACTTGAGTCTCTGGAATGCATTTCCAGATTACTCTTTCCTACTCGAAATCAGGAGAACAAGCAAAAACAAACGGATGGAATGAAAASTGAATGTCTGAATCTTTCACTTGGCGATGTTGAAAATTTATCGACAGCCTTGATCGGAAGTCATGATGAAGCATCAGTTGCTGTGAGCCATGGAACAGGGGATCTGTGTGATCAGAACAAGGTGCTCGCTGAGAGTTGTCGAAATTTAGCGTCGAGGGTAGCAAGAGAATTAGAAAACCCCCAAAAGGACGAAAGTAACGGACTATGGTTACGTTTTGTCTCTGAGCCACTAGATAGGGAAATGCAAAAACTCAAGCTTACGCCAGCGTATGCRAGAACATCTATCGCTTACGAAGCAAGTCTTGCGACATCTGGAGGTCCGCGGACACTCCGCATTTGTCTCGCCAAAGGTTTGKATGCTTTGCTAGGATATCTTCGAGAACACATAAAGACCTCAGATGATAATACACTTGCAGCAATTCGGGGTGTTGCCGCTTTTATTTCTTCGTCTCAGGTTGCCGTGTCGAAGTCACGGAATGAAGGAGTTGAGCTGACACCTCACCCATTACAGCCGTTTGCGGAAGAAACATGCGATCTTTTGTTGACGATCGTCGAGAGCAAAGTCACCCCTCACTCCCGAGCCCTCAAAATAGCTGCAGCTTCGTGTCTCGAGTGCTTATTTCGTTCTAGTCCTCAGAAAGATTTGGATTTGGATGAGCTCTTAAAACGAATTTGCAATTTTTTGAAAGGATTGCTGGAAACTACTTTGATTCGGAGACAAAACGACGCATCGGGTGACGATTATGACTTCGTTGACTACCAGTTTGTATCAAGCCAAACTATCGGACGAATTGTTGGAGTTTCATCAACTGAATGCGATGACAAAGCCCCCAATTGTACAATTTCAAAATCGATCTTATCAGCTCAGATGGTGCAAGATTGTCTACAAAATGAAATCTTTCCCAAACTGAAGGCGGCCGCATTTRACGAAGCTGATGGTTACAACGGAGAGCGATACGATCGGTTAGCGCTATCAACCGCTTGTTCGTCAAGTACGAGATTGGCTTCATCCGTCATCGGTTCCCATCTAGAAACTTTGCTTCATGGGCTGAAACATAGTACAAGTTCTCGTTCTGTCCAGGAGTGCCTTGCGCCGCTGTCATACATACTTCGGTCTTGCGTCGGGGACAATGTGATTAATTCTTTTCATGAAAACGATGTAGTTGACGAAATTCTCGATGTGCTGTGTGATGATGTAATAAATAGCGCATCAGCGCAAATTAGGGATTCAATTTCGCAGGTTGCGCTGTCCCCAACAACAACAACAACAACAAATAACGAAATAATGAAGTCGAAGGTGAGACCACTAACTGAGACATGCTCCTCAAAAACATTTTCACTCTCACATCTAGATAATCTTAATAWTTATCTCCTACACAGATCGAATCTGTCATCCAGATTGAAAGGGCACTATTACCAGCATACAGGAGTCTAGTTCCGCGGGAACGACTKAAAAAACTCCTGAAAGCTATTTCCGATAAGTTTCCTCCATTATCGAAGGCCGATGAAGGTGTCTTGCTTGTTAGACTCCCAATTTTGAGTACCGCTCTCGAGGGAGCTGAATCATCGTTACTTGAAGAGGTTGTGAGTGAAATCAACATAAACGACGGACCGCCAGTTTCACAACTTCTTCAAGACCTAACGGAATATGTTTTGAGTGATGACCACATATCTAATAGTGCAAGAAATGCCGGAGCATCGTGCGTACACTCACTTCTCAAGAGTGGTTTCAATAGAAACCTGGACTGTCCCACAGAACCATTGCTAGTTGATGTCAACAAGCGGATTCTTTCTCCTTCAATTAGTCTAATAGAGATGAAAAACTGCCTAAACTATTTATCTCTRTTGGTAAGTCACAACGCGATTATTTTGTTCCGAAAGAGGCATTTTTACAATAAGCTCATCGATTATGTTTGCATCTGCATGCTTTCTTCTTGCAATTGGCCTTGGGTACAGGGTTCCGCATCGGCACTTCGTGGAGCTTCATCATCATCTACTGCGGATACAATTGCAAGCTTCTTGTCAAAAATCTCATGCGAAGGATTCTCACGAGTACCRTTTTCATCTGGTTCAGAAGATGAGATTTTCGAACTTTCAAAGTTTTTCGAGGAACGCTATTCACAAACTGCTATCAGGCTAGTTTCTTCTTCTGCACATGGTGCGATTATGCTGGAAGACGGAATGAAACCTTTGATGATCCAACGGCTAACTCACAATATCATAAAATACATCAAGAAGCTATCTGATAGAATGAACGATCCTGTCAAAAGTACCAGCCCGTCGGAGACGGGTCTTTTGCTGGTCGTTTGCAATGTAGTTTGTGCCTGTGATCCATCAAAGTTCGACCAAGCCACCACCCGCTTACTTGCAGCTTTTCTAGTGGAAGGTCTTACGTCCGATCTATTTCAGCCTTCATCACAGCTTGGTGGCAAAATGCCAGCAGAGGCCAAGAACTCGAGGATACAAGTGATATCCGCTTTATTGAAGTTTCTCTGTATTTGTCCAACAGCGTTTGATGCATACGTGTTGGAAATCGTTTCAGGCTTGTTGCGTTCCTATGCAATCTCTGATCCTAGCTCAGAGGTTGGTTGCAAATTGATCTCACTCCAAACTTTACAGGCAGTATCTCGCTTAGACGAGTCAAAAGAGTCAATTTTGGCAGTGAAACCAGCTGTGATTGCACTTTTATCTTCCGCAATGAGCCAGAAAAACGGATTGTTGAGAAGTGCAGCTGTAGATGTAAGGAATGCGTGGTGCCTTGCAGCTTAGACTTTTTTTTTCTATTTTAAGGACGCCAGTTTTTTAGCTTTTTTACTAGAACATCATCGCTGCTTGGGTAGCAATCAYGCTCCATTGATTCTTTAAAATGGTGCTCTTGGACTGTAGTGTGCTCACCCTCCTCAAGGGCTCGAATTGCAGCTGATCGACACAAAGCCGYAATATCAGCACCACTGAATCCTTCCGTTAGAATAGCAAGATCCTCACACAACTTATGGATAAGATGCATACTGTTGACAGCATCGACCCGCATCCGTTTAATATGTACTTGCAGGATGGATTTCCTTTCGGAAATATTGGGCAATCCAACATAAACCACTCGATCGAGCCTACCAGGGCGTAGGAAGGCAGAATCAATCATCCAAGGCGTATTTGTAGCACCGATTACAATTACTCGTTTCCCACCTAGGGATGGAGAATACTTATCATGATTTACAACTGTATCTATTTCGTACCATTTCTTGATGTCGTCCAAGCATTGCAGCAGTGTGGTTGTTAGTTTTCCGCTACCACCCCGATTTCTATCTGTGAAAAGTGCCTGGAATTCGTCGAGAAATATTACCTGTTCAAGACACAAGCAAGTGAGCAATTTATTTAGAATTACTAAAAAAATATAGGCAAGTAAAAGCACGAATGATACGTACCGATGGAGTGTGTTTTCCTGCATATTCGAAACTCGAAGCAATTGTCTTTTCGCTGGTCCCAACTTCGGCACTCACAATCTCACTGATACTCAACGAAATGAACGTTCCACMAGACAACGATGACGAGGTGTCGTCGTCTTGCGTTGGATTTCTCATGAGTCTTGCAACAGCTTTAGCTAACAATGTTTTCCCGCATCCAGGAGGACCATACAGTAGGACACCCGTGGGCGGTGAAAGCCCAAATTTAGACAACATTTCTCTTTTACCATGATCAAAAGCRAGTGCATCTTCTAATGATACTTTTGCTTGCACATTCCCACCAATCGATCCAAAATGCGATGCACCACTCTCTTTTTCATCGAGAGTCGAGTCGGCTTCAGATAAATCTTCATCGGCAAAGTCGGTCAYATTTGCCTTCACTAAAGCAAGAGCCTTCACCAAATCTTGTAAGGTTGCTTTGCTTTTCCCTTCACCGCTGTTGTTATCGTACATTAAGTTATCCATCAAGATCCATCTCAATTGTTTTGCAACKCGACGAAATACACTTCCTTTTATCCACCGTGCAGAACCTACTATCTGAGCWAACCGCCCTTGCGCACATGCTTCTAGTGCAATCCCTTCCCGGGAAAATGCGGTGTCGAAGGCAGAGAGCTTTGTCTTTGTCCTTAGCAYCGGTATCCGATACCGATCGCTTATCATACAGTCTAGAATAGTAGATCCCTCGTCCATACTGCCCCCATTAGTCTTCAGGTGTGATCTCCAACCACCGTCAGGACATGTCACAATTCCTACTAAGCAGAGTTCGGCGGTAAGGACTTGGCCAGAACTGCCATTCGTAGGATTATATAGCGGGTTTTTCAACGGGAATGGGAACTCCTGCTTTCTTTGCATCGAATCTGTAATTTTGCGAAAATAGGATGCTATTGCATTGAAGACAGGGAAAGCAGCATCACCAGTACTAGATCGTCCAGAAAGCCGTGACGGTAGTATTGCATCAAGTTGGTCTACAATAATGCAGACCTTCTTGTTCCTACAAGCTGCACTTATCAGAATCGCGTGAATTTGCGATTCCAGGGCTGCATCTGCCCGYACCCCATACTTTGCTAGGAGAGCACCAGGACGGATCACATGTATCGAGGAATATCCTGATGACTTTGCGAGAGCTTGGACCAGAAGAGTTTTACCATCGCCATGATTTGGAGAATGAACTATGAGCGATGGCCAACTCCGCAAACTTCCGCAGCCACTACTGTTTTTATCGTCTCCAGATCGCACAAGCTGTTTTGATTCAGTTGYGAAARCTTGAATTGATTTTTTGATTTTTCTTATTTGTTGTTCTTGSGTATCTTTTATGCGAAACGCATCCCGTGTAGTTCCAATTTGTACAGACACCATGACTGCTGATAGTTTCAAATTCAACTCGCCGACTGTTTCTTGGTTGTGGTTTTGTAGGACTTCGTTTACCATTTCATCACTAATGATATTGCTGCTTCCTTCGTCTCCGAGCAAATCGAGCAGCATTGATTCACGCCTTAAATGCATTGAAAAAGACGCTGGTATTGTCGACACCGACGATGACAAGGTGTGTTGTCGATTATGTGATAATGAGTTCATTGCCGACCTGRGGGGAAGTATCCTCACCAAAGTGTCTTGAGAAAACTGGCAAATGGATTCWTTTGTTTGATCGGAGCCAGGTGTTTTATTTCCTGCGTTCATTACTCGATTGAAAATTGTATACGCAATAATACAGCATGGTTGCTTTTTAATACTTGTTGGATTGTCGGAAGGGATGTAAACAATTGGAAAACTCCTGTGATTCGATTTGTCATCGATGTTTTCAGCGATGYCATCATTTTTATTTCCATTGTTTCGAAACACGTAGCCACTAACGATGAATTGATCTCTATTYGGAACGCACTCGTTTTCCTTCCATCGCATAATAAATTGATTCCTTTTTGAATTTCCCCCGGTGAAAGAGTTTATTGTCATTCTTTGGGCTTCCTTCGTTGTGTGGAGAAGAAATCGTTTCACACCAAAATTTGTCAACGTTAGGCAGGATCCTTGTTGTTGTTGTCTTCGATGGCCATTATTACATTCGTTGATGACTTCCGATGTGCCGGTGGGGGCCAATACGACGGGCACAATTTCTGCGAACACAATCGGAACTGAGGGAGACCCGGCGTACAACAAAGATGGGGAAACAGTCGACATCGTACTTAAAGCTCAAAGGTATTGATGTTGGARTCTGTTCGTTTGTTGTTAYAAATACTTCATCGGAGTCGATCCCGAAAAAATGTCGACGAAAAAATGACACCGTCGYCTCAACGTAAGAACAAACAAAACAGCATTCCCATCGAGCAGCTCCGTCTCGCTGTATTTCGTCTGCCGAACCGTGGAATCCTTCTTTTGTTGAGAATATCAAAAACCTCTGAAGTAGTTCCTTTGCTACCTGATAAAATGTTGATAGATAGGTAGTTCTGTAGAGAAAGCGCTGGACTATCAGGTGGCTGTCGATTAATAAGGTTGTTGGAAGATGATCGTGGATAAAGAAGTTTTTGTTTCAAAGGATTGATGAAAGATAGTACGAGTGGTTGACGCCTTCAATCATTTTCGTTCTCAAAATACAGTGGTTCAAGATTTTTTTCGAAATGAGTTTTTGGAGATTTTTCATGGGTCGTTTTCACTCCATCAGTACCTACTAGAGCTACTAAGTACGGGCCCCATAATGGCAAGTTATTGACAATCCCCGTACAAATACTAATAGAAATTTTTAGCTCATTTTTACAGTTAAAACCAGTTAAAAAAGGCATCCAATGGACGAAATTAAAAATATTTCCATTGTTTAATTTCTCGCTAGTCCCAAAATATTTCTATTGGTGGTCCTTAATATTCGAGATAAGCACTGATTTGATATTCCCACAAGTAAGGACCAGGAATACTAGAAATATTTGCGGACTTTGTAGTTTTTCGTGTTGATGGGGGGAGAGGGGAAATAGAGACGGGAAAATGAGAAAAAATTGACGTACGGAAATTGCCAATAACTTGCCGTTATGGGGCCTGTACTTAGTAGCTCTAGTACCTACGGTACGTACCTACCGGCACTTCTCTTACTGCTTCCTTCTCTTTCATTAAATGGAGTCAATGCGTCAACCCTAGAAAACCTCCAAAGGAAGAACCTGCTGAGRCCTACTACTACAGGGCAAAAAGTTTTTCTACTACTACCATCAATCAATCTTCACCATGGTGCTACTAGTGATCATGCCTTAACAACCAAATTGCCCCAACCCACCACACTAGGAGGAGGAGTAACAAAGGTACTACTAGTAGGCTCACCAGTACTATTGTTGGCGATATCCATGTAATATGACTGTCTCCTGCCAATTTTGTTTGCTAGCAGTAGTAGCACCAAACCACAGAGCTCAATGATGGAGGTGGTGGGGATGTTATTGGAGAAGATCTTACAGCAAARGTAGCACCACTACTAGCTTTMAGTCATTTGACCCAAACACTTYTACATTTTGTTTATGAAAAGTACTACTAGTAGTAGTTATGGTGGTAGTACTAGTAGTAGTGTCCACTAGATTTCCTACTGGGTTCTACACTGACACCACATACATGACCTAATAACTTCTGACACCTGGAACCACTATGGCTACATCTGTTTCCAAAGGGGGAAATCTACCACCCTAGGATGCTTCCAAGCAG